AAGGGGCTGTTTAACCGTTGCCAGCAAAAATAGCTTGAAGTAATCCAGTGAATATAAGTTCATCCGGAAGATACAGGGTCGCATTCCTTGATTGGGTTTAAAAATGAAAAGAGTGTTATCAAAACTGTTGACCGGGGAACTAAATAATTTTACCTCAAATTGTGAATCAGCTGTTTCACGGCTGAAACTTAATCATACCGGTACTCCCATTCAGCATCGTGGAAATGGTTGGGTTCAGTTTGCTAATTACAGAATGCACCAGTCAGCTCGCCACTAGCTGGTCAGTATGTGAACTGTAAACCAGTTCATTTCAGTATACGCAGTGACAGCAGCAAACACTCACGAAAGTTCATGGGGATGCTACTGCGACAATGCTATGCAGCTACCCTGTCTTGGCGATTGCTTTTCCGTAAATTGGATTGTCGATTCTGAGAAGGTTCCATCTAATCACATTTTCTAGCAAAATCTTAGACGGTACAGTCTCACTCGGGCGTATTGACAATTATTATCAAATGCTTGTTTAGCACTTTTCCTGAATTCTTGATCGCCTGTAGATCGCAAAAACGCATTTAGACGGAATCATATGTGTGAGCCTGTGTGCCTAACCAACGCTTCAAATACAAAACTGCCAAGAGTCTGAAATTTAATGCACGAGTCGCTGAATGCGTATAAGAGCTTGGACCACAAATCAACTTTCAGTTTACTCTGTTTTGACTTTTGACTATAGGTCAAAAATTGGCAAATTTAATAACTCAAGAGCCCAGAAAATTATACGCTTGGAATTTTAGTGACAGTGTATGAAGCGACATTCTCGAAATTAAGCCACATCCTCATCCATGCCAAGATCCACAGTCTCGGGGTGCTTTGAGAAATTTCAAACTCATAATTATGGGAGTTCGATTTATCACTCCCTGTACCCTATTAAGTTGAAATTTTATCGCGTACTCACAGCCCGTAATGTCAGAGACTCAATAACCATAGTCGCGTCCCATTCCCTTCTACTTCTTATCACTAGTTTCGAATGACCTGCCACATAGTTGATTGCCCTGTTATGCCTACTTTTACTATTCTATCATTTTGCCCGTTGTTTTTCTCTTTAATTACCTCCTCCGTAAGCAGTCATCGCTTTTGTGCCGGTTACTTGGGAAAGGCAGTTTACGCTAAACCGTATCGTTACGTCCTTTACGAAATTCATCACAAAAATGCTTTTGGAAGCTCATATCCATTCATTTATACGTCTATCTGTCTATGATACACGAAAACTAGGAAGCAGAAATTTAAGAATTTCCTTCCTGATCATATATGAACCCAGAAGTGTAGTTCCAATTTCCATGTCTTTTTATGCGTTTTTGCCGTGCAGCACTAGAGCGCTGCAACAGGCAATAACCCAGGCTGGAACGCACCAGGCGAGCCGGTGCGATCATGCGTTTTTGCATCAAACTTTGAGAGTCAGGATAAAAGGAAAGAAGGAAAAAAGGAGAAAACCCAGGCTGGGACGCACCAGGCGAGCCGGTGCGATCATGCGTTTTTGCATCAAACTTTGAGGTACTCCATCATTATTTCCCTGTCCTTGCCTCACCCCCCACTCGCTGACTTCTCGCCCCTCCACCTTCCCGCACCCGCCCTGGATATCTCGGAACAGCCGCGAGAAAACGCCTGCCTTAGGGGGCTCAGATAGCAACTGTATTGCTATAAAAAACTGATTTTACCGGCTTTAGCAGCTGTTTAACCGGTTTTTTGCCTGAAGTACGCTCGTTTTTTCGGTAAATGTTCGTTTTGTAAAAAAAAAATGACAAAAGCAAATTTTTTGAAATGCATATTTCCAGTTCACTAGGAAGTAGAAGTATTGCTCGAGGGGTCGTTTCCAAAAAAACCGCGTTCATTTACATATACGATTGCGGTTAAG